TTCAGCTTGCAACTCAAGCAATTTCCCAGGGGCTTTTTCTTGTGATAGCTATCATATTTTGTCATGTAGCAAAAATGTTCTGTGTACCTTCCTGTTTTGTCATTTATTATTAAGATGACATTTACTATTAAGATGACATTACCGGTCGGCACCGTGACTCACTAGGCTAATCCTCCACCTTGCGGCACCGGCACACTGGGTTCTAGTCCCGGCCGGGGCGCCGGATTCTGTCCCGGTTGCCCCTCTTCCAGGCCAGCTCTCTGCTATGGCCCAGGAAGTGCAGTGGAGGATGGCCCAAGTGCTTGGGCCCTGCACCCCATGGGAGACCAGGATAAGCACCTGGCTCCTGAATTCGGATCAGCGTGGTGCGCTGGCCGCAGTGCGTTGGCTGCGGCGGCCACTGGGGGGTGAACCAATGGCAAAAGGAAGACCTTTCTCTCTGTCGCTCTCTCTCACTATCCACTCCACCTGCAAAAAAAAAAAAAAAAAAAAAAAGACATTACTGGCACATGCTCACTCGGACTTACCTCCAATGGTGGAACTAGAAATGTGCCAGGGAATTTCAACTCAATCTTACCAAGGAGGCAGGTACCAATGCCAGCGCACTTGGTAAAGTGATAAGTATAAATACACAACTGATCAAAAAGATAGGGTAAGTGTTGAAGAGATTTCACAAATAAGGCCAGTGTAAGCAAATAATGAAGGATAGAATTAAAAGGGAGAGAATGATCCTGAGGGGGAAGCAGGACACACAGCAGACTCATAGAATGGCAAAAGCCCAAAACAACACTCAGGCCTCAGAATCAACCCTTGGGGCATTTGGATCTGGCTAAAAGGCCCATGAGAGTCTCACAGGCATGGAAAGCCATGACACAGTGGCAAAAACAATCTAAATGAAAGATCCTGGTGAACAAGACCCCAGTGGAAGGAACAGGCCATCAAGGAGAGAGGTGCCTTTCTCTGAAGGGAGGAAGGAACCTCCACTGTGATATGGCCTTGACTAAACAAATTCAGAGTTGGTGAACTCAAGGGGCTTCCATAGCCTAGACAGCTCATGGCAAGAGCCTCGGGTGATTGCTGATGCCATAAATAAGAGTGTCAATTGTTAAATCTACAACGGGAGTCACTGGGTACAGGCTCCCCACGTAGAATCTCTGTCCTTAATGTGTTTTACTATGAAACTTAAAGACAACACTACTAGTCGAACAATACCCTATACCTTGTGTGGTTGTGTGAGGGCAGCCTGTTGAAATCCTTGCTTAGTGTATACTAAGTTGATCTTCAGTATATGAAGGTGATTGAAAATGAAACTCGATGAAGGGCAGGATGGGAGAGAGAGTGGGAGAGGGGAGGGCCGCGGGAGGGAGGGAGGTTGGGGGGGACCACAACAATACAAAAGTTGCACTTTGTAAATTCACATTTATTAAATAATAAAAAGATGACATTACTACATTACTATTAAGATGACACCCAGGAATCAGGATTTAACAAAAGTAACTATTCTACTGCTTCATCAAGGATATTCTTAAGTAAAACTGGTCTTCTCTGTTTTGTTTTTTACTGCAAATAAGTGGGTTGGGTGATAAAGAAGACAACCTGGCCTTGTCCCCAAGGGTATTTGTGCCAGTCAAAGCTGAGGCTCCTACTAGAAATGTCCAGGTCATGCAAACACCAGGAGATCAGCAAACCCCACCCTGACACTTAGAAACCAAACCAATCACTCACATACATCTTCCTGATTTAACACATTGTCACAATTCTCTTTCAAAGACACACTTTTCTCTTCTTTCGAAGACAAAAAATATTTGGCCCAATTTAAACTTAGAAATGATAAGTGTCCTAAAATATTTCAAGTGCTGATTCAGCCATCCCTGAATTGTTTGTGCATCAGAAATTCCATTAATGTGTTTATTTCAGCTCTCTAAATACATCACTACAGACATGCTATGGAAAGACAAAAGATCAAAGAAAAAACATCTTGTATATTTTTATTCATATAGTTACATTTAACAAATTTAAATAATCCACATTTCAAAACACCACCCTCTCATGCATATTATACACATATTTCTCAAATACAACTTTATGAAAATAAAAGCAAAAGCTTTAGATTCAGAGAGATTAGATAAAATGTGAGGCCAAGTACAGAACCTGAAGTGTCTGCAGAGTTGGCAATAACAGGGCTGGGAGGAAAAGTATGTACTGGAGCCTGGGCTGGAGGGATAGGAATAGGAGTCGCTGCATTTGGTGAGATCCATGTTATTCATAAGATCTGAATGGAGTTCACTTTATAAAAATTCACTGTAGGAAGAAATACCTCTAGAAAAAAATCATTTTTAACAGTTACTACCATTTAACATGCTACAACAAAGCAGCATTAAACCAAGGAGTCTTAAATAACATGAGGAATTATGGAGCCTGCATTGGTTTCATATCTCTGTGTAACAATTACTGTACATTTGGAGGCTTAAAACAAAGCTCCGTCATTGCTCACGGTTCTGGAGGGCAGAAGTCTTTCATGGAGTGACTGGATTATCTGTCTGGAGTCTTAAGAGACTGGAATCGAGATGTCAGCCAGACCCTATTCCTTTCTAGTAGCTCTGGGGAGAATCTTCTTCCACACTCATTCAGGCTGTGGGTCAAAGCCAGTTCTGTGCTGTTGGAAAGACTGTTCTCCTTGTGTTCAAATCCTCACAACCTGAGAACATTCACTCAAAGATGATTTCACTGCGTGCTTTGTGATGATGTGCTTCATGCCAGCATTGTGACAAATGAGCACATCCTGGAGATGATGATGTCAATAGGGGTGATACCAAGTCTGGTAAAGCCAAGGTCTCAGAGAGGAAAAACAGGATGGTCCTGCCCCTCCCCCACAGTGGGAGTCCACTGAGCTATGGGTCTAAGTCAAGAGGGTATTTTTGGTAAAATGATTTGGGGATTTTTGGTTAAAAAAAAGAAGACAAACAAATCGCACATGTGCCTCTGTAAATGGCACAAAGGGTGAGCGACTCTGGGTTAGAATGAAAAGGCCTTCACACACACCTGCTATATGTAATGGATTCTCTAGTGCTACATGTGCAATGCATCATGGTACTCACTGGCCTAGGTATTTTACATCAAATTTTCACTTGAGGCAAACAAAGTTAGATCTTCCTAAGGCCACTCTACAAGGAAGGCTCGTGGTTTGCAGCTAGGCCTCTGTCCGTCCCAGGGCTCACTCCTCTGCTCCACAGCACTGAAAAGGGGCCCTTGCAAGAAATGGGGGATGGGTCCAGCCTGTGGGCTGTATAAGGCCTGCAAAATCAATTGGTCTGCCCACATTGAGACAACCACAGACGGGACTCAGAGTTCAATAAATCTACAGCAGCTAACTTTTAAGTTGATAATTTTGTATGGCCTGCAAATGATGTTACAAATATACAAAACACCCTTGGCAAAAGAGAAGGCCCTTCCTCCTGTGGATAGGATACAACTGCCAGTTCCTTCTGAGGGGCAGTGAGTCCAAGTTGCATTGACTTAGGACAGAAATCCAAGTTCTTTCCACACAGCAAGACCATCCTCGGGTGGTTATTTGCAAGACAGCTTTGTGCTTAACCAGGCAAACATGAGTGCATACTTTCCTGGTGCTTCCTTGCCCCTAGCTAAAGCTGTACTTCCTTGGCAGGGAAGGGCAGGGAGGCCTTCAGCAAACACTTGCCAGACAGTACTCTCGGTTTCTCTGTTCCCAGGTTCCCCTGGACCTTAGAGTTGGGGTCGGGGGCGGGGGAGGGGGGGAATCTTTGGCCTCCTCTGGGAAATGCTACTTTGTAACCAAAGCAGAAAGATCATTGTCTGCCTTCTCTTACAAGTCAGATAAGGAAAGGCCACTGATCCCCTTGAAGAATCATCCCAGCTAATCAGGAAGCTTGCCCCCAAACAGCGCCAACAGAAAAAAAAAAAAAATAACACGGGATAATTATTAACCTTCACATAGGGATTCCAGATGGCAATCTGGCCTTTCATCTCAGCTAAGGGGAAATGGCAGAGACAGAACTCATGAAATGGAAAATGGAAGAGGAACTGCCTGTGGGTTCTTCAGTGGACCATGTTGATAACTTTAAAGCCAAATCTCTAACAGGCTAAACTGAGGTCTCGTCCCAGAAGGTGGATTACAGTTTCACTCAGGGTTGTTTTTTTTTTTTTTTCATTGAAACTGGTTTTCTTCAAAGTTTTATTCATTTATATGAGAGGCAGAGACAGAGAGAGAACTCCCATCTGCTGGTTTATTCCCCAAATGCCAACAATGGAGTCAAGAGCTGGGAACCAAGAACTCAATCCAGGTTTCCCACATTGATGACAGGAACCCTACTACTAGAGCCGTCACTGCTGCCTCCCAGGGTTGGCATAAGCAGGATGCCGGAGGCAGGAGCTGGAGCCAGCTATAGAACCCAGGATCCTAATGTGGGATGTAGGCATCTAAACCAGAGTTTTAACCACTAGGGCAAGTGCTTACCCCCATGATAGGCTTTTGAGTGGTTCTCCCGGATCACTTAAGCACATATATGGGAAATACATCTGATTTCACAAGAATGAGGCAAATAAAATTGCTTCCAATATTTTTTGGATGAATATTGTGGGAGGCCATTGAGAAACAGAAGCCCAATTTCACACATACTTAATTTAAAAAAAATACATTTAAATAGTATTAAGCTTTCCCACATATCCATATTGGCTTAAAATTCATGTGATGATTTGAAACACTTTTTTCTAACTTACTGATTCTAAATACATGCTTATTAAAGGAAATGCATTATGCACAGACTTTTACATTTTTTTAACTTTCTTGGATCTTATTTTAAAATATTAAGTGGACACAACGTTTGCCAATAGTCAGTTCTTTCACTATCAGCCATGGGAATTAACCAGATCAAACCTAATGTGCCAGTACTACCACCTGACTAGAGCTACCCTGACTTCTTAAGAATCCTTGAATACTAACTGCATTTTCCTTATTTTGATAGAAATCTTCTGAGCTAATAGCTGAGTGTTTGAAATCAAACAGAGGTAAGGTCAATCTTCCTACAGTTGCAGGTACTTGAGCAAGTTATTTTCTGTCCTAGAATGTCCATTTCCTTTGTTACACAGGGAAATAACAAATCTTTCAGAAGTTGGTCATGAGAAGCCCATCAGCTGGTCCATGTCATGTAGTAGTGTTCAATAAGTGGTAACTTGTTTTTATTGCCATTGGAGTTATTCTTTTCCTTAGTCATTCCCTCCACAAAACAAATGCTCACTCCCGTCTCATATTTTCATTGACTCAAGTTCTACCTTTTAGTCCAATATCCTTTCTCAAGAAGGCTTTCACCATTGTGCTTTCTGTAGCCCTTCAGCAAATAGTGAGTTCTCCACCATCTCTAATCCTTCCTCACTTATTTCATACACCTTGTGTTGTATTTGTCACCTACTACATTGTGCTGTAGTTTCTGATCTTTGTAATTGAAATGACAACTTCTGAAATTTAGGAAGCAAAGTGCTCTTCCCTGTGAATTTTTTCTTTCTTGGTTTTGTGTTGAAAGAATTCTAGAATGATGTTATGTTTTGTTTTGTGTTATTTGTCAAATCAAAACAGAATTGTTTTTTTCATTTTAGCTTTTAGTATTGTTTACATTTTAGCATTTAGATATTTCAATTTAGCCAACTTTTTTTTATCCTGAACCTCCAACATAATTCTTGAAGTCAGGATGAACAAACGTATTGCTAATTCCTTCCAGAGTAAGGTGATGATGCTTCCAAAATTACTAACTACACAGCCAGGCAGCCTCCAGCCATTCTGCTCTTTCTGCTTCAGTTATCTTACCATCAGTGTAAGTGATGGGTTATGCTCAAATGATTTTTTAAAGATTTATTTACTTATTTGTAACTCAGAGTTATAGAGAGGGAGAGAGAGAGAGAGAGGATCTTCTATCTACTGATTCACTCCCCAGATGGCCACAATGTCCAAGGCTGAGGTAGGCTGAAGCCAGGAAATAGGAGCCTCTCCCAGTCTCCCTCATGGATAGCAGTGTCTAAGTACTTGGGTCATCATCTGCTGATTTTCCCAGGCCATTAGCAGGAAGCTGAAATGGAAGTGGAGCAGCCAGGACTTGAACCAGCACACAAATGGGATGTTGGCATCACAGGCAGCAGCTTTTACCCACTACGCCACAATGCCAGCCCCTCAAATGATTTTTAAGAGACTCTGTTTCTAGAAAATTTCTGGCTTATCATTTTTGAAGTGAGAGCATTAAACTTGGCAATCCTGAGCTTGACTTTCTGCGGCATAAGTCATTGTTACCTTCACTTTCCCAGACCACACAGGGTCCCAGTAAGAAAAAAATTCATTTCTCAGGCATCACATTCACTATTCAAAAATTTCCCAGCTACTTCTTAGAGTTTCCCAAAGGCTTTTTAAAGTATTCATACATAACGTGCTTTCAACTCCCTAAGGATTCCAACACTCATTTCCTTTATTCTAGCCATGTCTTCAGTTGCTCTTATGTCTCATAGAGCTGCTTATGCCCCCAGGATCTACCTGTTTTGGGAGCAGGATGTTTGCCTCGGATTCTCATCTTTAGAATGAACCACACTCACTCACCTCCTCCAATGCTCTATGTGAAGTGGGGGAAGGGATACATTCTTAATCTTGGGATGCACGTATCTTGGGTCACAAGAAAGATGCCTATTCTATAGTGATAAAATGATTTAGAGGTGCAGCAAGAGGTTTGATCATTAACAATAATGTCAAAATAAGAGTTTATCAAAACCAATTCTTTGCAGAAATTCCCAAGTATGAATGGGGTTTCAGTGAATTAGTCAGTCCCTGCGATTAGAATGATCCAAATCATTCGGCGATGCGGCCAATAATTAGCATAATCTGTGTGGGTGCAAACTGTTGAAATCTTTACTTAATATATACCAAGTTGATCTTCTGTATATAAAGATAATTGAAAATGAATCTTGATGAAGAATGAGATAGGAGAGGGAATGGGAGTTGGGATGGTTTTGGGTGGGAGGGAGATTATGGGGGGAAAAGCCGCTATAATCCAAAAGTTGTACTTTCAGGCCGGCGCCGCGGCTCACTAGGCTAATCCTCCGCCTTGCGGCGCCGGCACACAGGGTTCTAGTCCCAGTCGGGGCGCCGGATTCTGTCCCGATTGCCCCTCTTCCAGGCCAGCTCTCTGCTGTGGCCAGGGAGTGCAGTGGAGGATGGCCCAAGTACTTGGGCCCTGCACCCCATGGGAGACCAGGATGAGCACCTGGCTCCTGCCATTGGATCAGTGTGGTACACTGGCTGCAGCACACCGGCCGCAGCGGCCATTGGAGGGTGAACCAACGGCAAAAGGAAGACCTTTCTCTCTGTCTCTCTCTCTCACTGTCCACTCTGCGCGTCCAAAAAAAAAAAAAAATCAAAAGTTGTACTTTCAAAATTTATATTTATTAAATAAAAGTTTAAAAAAAGAAAGCATGGCATCAGCTCAGCCAGGCTACCTGGGTTAACAACAACTTGGAGGTGGTCCATTAGCACAGACGTGGATCTGAGATATGGGGAGAGATGTACAAAAGCAAAGCTTCTGCTTCTCCCCATTGCTGTACAGGAATCATGTGTGATATGCACTTTTCTACCTCACAGAGTGTGAAGCACTCAAGCATTTTTCCCCACTGCATTCTAGACCAACAGAAATTCACATAAAGATCAAAGTTTTGAGAATGGACCAGATTACTCCAGATTGGAGTACTGGTGGAAAGGTACAAAGAAGTTAGTAAAAATACTTCCAAGTTCTCTTCTGAATTGTCCCTTTTTCTTGTACAGGAAGATGGTGATATCAGCTGCTTAGAAAAAGTTGTTCTCTTGGATGCTGAATGAAGAGATCTTGTGATTAAACTTCAAGAAGAGATGGTTACAGTGGTGCTGTGGCAAAGTGTCTTAAGCTGTTACATAGGGATGTCTACATCCCATATTGGAGTTCCTAGGATAGAGTTCCATCTCCACTTCTGATCCAGAGTCCTGCTAAAGACACCCTGGGAGGTAGCAGATGATAGCTCAGCTGCTTGTATTCCTGCCACCTATGTGGAAGACACAGACTTGGTTCCAGGCTCCTGGCTCTGGCCTTACCCAGACCCAGCTGTTACAGTCATTTGGGAAAGTGAACCAACAAATGGAAGATTTCTCTCTCTCTCTCACTCTCTCTCTCTCTCTCTCTCCCCCCTCCCTCTCTCCCCCCCCCTCTCTAAAATAAAAAATAATAAATGCACTTTAAAACAAAAAAGAAGAGATTGCCATCTACTCCCTATCTGATTTCTACTCTGGGTAACCAAATCCTCAGAGAGAATGCACAGTGCAGCTCATTTCTTCCATAGGAAGCTACACTAAAGTTTAGGGGCCAAGCCTCTGCTAGTAACATGGCTAATTTTCTCAGTAGGTTCCAGCTGCTTGCCTCCCTGAGGGCCTGCAGGGATGGCAGATGGAGGAGGACTCACATTTATAGGATCCCAGCCATCTCTTTCTGTTTCATTAGAGACCCTAAAAGACGGAGAAACAGCAAAGTGAAAACTGCCAGGAGTCATCACTTGGCTGCAATTCCCAAAAAGCAGGACTCCATTCAAGACCCCCACATTCAAGCTGCTCAGGCGTGCCCAGCTGGAGCAAAGGAGCTCACTACCTTCTGCAACGTGACTCACCCTGTGAACTGCAACAAGAATCCAGCCACTGTACCGAAAGCCACAGAAACAAACCCTCTGTCTGTTGTGCTTGCTGCTTTGATAAGAGAGCAAAAAAGAGATTTCAGTCAACTGAAGAATATCCCTAGGTTGCAAAAGAGGGCTGTTAGAAATGTGTGTCTGTTTTAATTTGAAGGGTAGAGAGTCAAGGGTTGTGGGAGAGGACAGACAGAGGACAAATTGGTAGTACTCCCAGCTGTTGATTCATCGCCCAAAAGCCCACAACAGCTGAGGCTGTGCCAGGCTAAAGCCAGGAGCCAGGAACTCAATCAGATTCTCCCATGTGGCAGCATGGAGCCAAGGTCTGCATTAGCAGACCATGAGTCAGGGTCTGCATTAGCAGGAAGCTGGGAACAGAAGCGGAGCCGAGGCTAGAACCCAGGCACTCCAATACAGCATGCTGGTTTAAAAAGTTGTCTCTTAACCACAGTGTCAAATGCCTGCCCCCCACCCCCCATATTTTTTTAAAGAAAGTATTTAGCTAGACTACTTCTGACTTCTGTCTTCTCTCTACCCACCCACAGCTCTTCCATGAATTTACAAGATCTGTTGGGGAGGGTATATTTTGACTATCAGAGCAATGTAAGTTTCTATTCTAGCATCAAGACCACCTGTCCAGCTAGGAAAGCAGGTTGTTAAAATGATAAGAGAGATGCAAAGTAACACAGACAAGGTTTATTATCAGCAAGACGAAACACTGCATGATAGTCAGCATTTCTGAGAAATTCAGGAGGAAAAGCATTTGGCAAAGGGGTGGAAAAATAACCTGATGATGGTGTATCTGTCCCTCACCTATCTCCCCCCCTCCAGCTCCTATGCCCCTTTTCTCACTTTAGGAGGAGACATTGAACAAAGTAAAACAACCACTCTCTGAGCATCCAAGGTTGTAGAAGTAACATATGCTGCCCTTGTTACTTTGAATCACTTCCCCAGGGCATTTATCATTTGTACACTGAGATGTTCTGACAGCCACTTGGCACTTGCCTTTTGTCATGTTGTAATGGAATATGCATTTCCATTGCAGTCAATATTTTTTCACTTCAATTACATGCAGTGAATCAACCCCTTGCTACATAGAAATTTGTTTGGAGCCCTCCCCAGAGCCAAGAGCCACTGGAGAACCTTGCTCTGATAACTGCCAGTGGCTCTGTAGACTGTATTCTCTTATTGGAGAGTAAACCAGATCATTTGCATTGTAAATAAAATCAGTTCTTGTCTTTATTTCCATCACTTTTTAATGCTTTTGGCTGCTAACTTGTATACTTTAATCATAGACCATATGAAAGAAAGCAAAGAAAGATTTTAAATAAGCTTAGGAGTGAACACAAAGTGAATCTGTGGCAGGAACAGGGGACTAAACCATCTCTGACCTCTGTTGAGTTATCAGCTCTGCTTCTAGAGATCACAGGGAAACTGGAATAGTGGCTTCTCACAATATTTCCTCTATATTGAATTAGGGACTTGCAACTGCAAGACAAGCAGCATTTTAGGAGACTCTGGTGTGGAATTAGTGGTGAAAATGAGCACTTTCTCTGTAGGCAGGCCCTGATGTGAGGGCAACCTCTGATCCACCCAGCCAGGACCTCAAGTGAAAGCAGAGGGCACTGAGTGGGATCTATTTTCTGCAATGGTCACTATTAAGAATGGAAGAAACTATTTGCATAAACACTTGCCTTTTTTTACTACAAATTGCAGTTTTGAGATAGCAGTCATTCCCTGCCTAGACTAACAAAAAGGATACAAACCTAAAATAGCCACAAAGATCATGTTTAAACCTGCATTACTTGTTGTATTTAGTCATTGTTGATGTTATATTCTCAGGAACGAAAGTTATTTCTCCAGATGACTGCACTTGAAGATGGGGCCGTCCAGGTTCACAGGAAGGTCTCAGAGGTGCAGAATCTTCTTATAAAGGTTTTCATTCTTACTGGCTTCACTTCTGGTCTTGACAATGGTTGAGAGTGGCCCAAGCTGGCTCTCACATCCTGCTCTGAGCAATGTGGAGATTCTTATCCCGTTGTAGACAACATGGTAAATTTCAAGGGAGTGTCCTTGGGTGCACACCCTCTAACCCAACCTAAGTGGAGTCCTCACAGAGTGATCAAGTATGCCCAGCCCAGGAGATCTCTCTTCCTTGGGTAGACAGGCAACCCTGGTTGTGCTGGCTCTGAATGGGGCTCAGGGTTGCACCCTCTGAATACAATAGTGTTCCTTTTTTTTTTTTTTTTGGACAGGCAGAGTTAGACAGTGAGAGAGAGAGAGACAGAGAGAAAGGTCTTCCTTTCCATTAGTTCACCCCCCAAATGGCCACCACGGCCGCTATGCTGTGCCAATCCAAAGCCAGGAGCCAGATGCTTCCTCCTGGTCTCCCACATGGGTGCAGGGCCCAAGCACTTGGGCCACAGCAGAGAGCTGGACTAGAAGAGGAGCAACTGGGACAGAATCCAGTGCCCCAACCGGGACTAGAACCCAGGGTGCTGGCACCACAGGCAGAGGATTAGCCAAGTGATCAGCAGCGCCAGCCATACAATAGGGTTCTTGAGTCCAACCTTGACATTTAGTGGCCAGTGACACCTGCCATGCCTCATATCCTTTGTCATTTTGTTCCTAATCATCTCTCTTGTTCCTTATCTCCTCTGTCAATATTTTATCTTCATATTACTCTGAGCTATCTTTTTCTTCTTACCCAGACTTCTATAATTTCCTTTTCTTTCTAATGTTTCCTCCATGTGCCCTGGAACTCTATATCTATGGTCAGCCAATTCTCCTAATCCTATTATTTCTTGTTTCACCTCCTAAGCCCTTCCCTGTGGATTTAACAACCTCCCAAAGCCCCTCCAGGTCAGAAGTTCATAGTCCTATGCCCCCGTGTGTACCATATTTGACAGGCTGAACCAGCAAGATCGTCACTTACCGCTGTGTCTTCCAGATTTCACTTCTCTTCTCTCATGCAAAGAGTCCTGCTTATCTGAGGCTCACATCAAGCATGCATGCAGCCTTGAATACCACCTCTGCTTAAAACTTCAGGCCTGTAGAGACTACTGTTGCATGCTTGTCCCATTGTAAGAATGCTGAATTGTATATTGATGAGGAATTCTAGCTTTTGTTTAGAAATAAAATGTGTCACCCTCTTCTGCAGCCAGACCACCTCACACACAAACTTTTCTTTTGCTACTCCTCATATGTGCTATCTCTAGGTGTGAACCCATAACCACACTCAACCTCTCCTCCTCACAGGCCATCTTGTCTCCTCCCTTCCCTGGCTAAGTCACTGTCCTGGTCCTCTTCTTCTCTGGAAATGTCTTTAGATACACCAGACCAAAGTGGTTTTCCATCCTGCTTAACCACAACATTTATTATCTCTGCCAGGTGTTCAACAACAAAACATGCTCATTGAAACTTTCCATTCACTTCTCTGCCTTCCAAATCTGCTGCTTTACTGTTTGGTGTCACCCAAGAGTCTCTTTGGATGAGTCTGTTGTCATTGTCACCATGGGGTAGAAAGTCCTACAAGTGTTAAGTACAAAGTCAGGAGTTAACCTATGTGTGTGAGAAGGGCTTGAGGAAACTGACATCTACAGCAGTCCAGCATGTGCATTTCAAAGTCACCCCGATAATCTTGCAGGTGCAGTCCAGTATCTTCACTTCAAAGTCCTGCCCAGTCCCTGATAACCTTAAAGGGGGTCCTGCCCCTTCTACCTGGCCTGATAAACATCCTTCCTCTAAGGCTTCTCTAGAGAGAAGCCCCTTGGCCGATGCCAACCAGGTTTCCCCTCTCTAATAACTTCAGCGAGAAACTCAGACAGGAATTTTTCGTATCTACATCCAACATGTCCTTTGCTCTGGAGGACAAGAAAGAGAGGTGGGGAGAAAAGGCAGGAAGGCAAGACCCATCCCCTTAAAAACCCCAGCCTAAATGTGAACTAGGCATTCTCTCTCAGGTTCTGTCTGAAGAGGTACCTATCCATTCTTATAGATGGATAGTAAACTTTGCTACTTTGCGTTCCACAGCTCTCTGTCTCATGTCTGAATTCTTTCTTGCATGAAGACAAGGACCCTTAGCTTCTCTGGTGACACAAGGAGTAGGCAATCACCTTGGATCCACATGCCACTTTTATCATCGCCATCACACAAGAAACTGTTCTGTGAACTCATTCCAAATAGTAATTTAATAACTTCATTACATACCTGCAAGCGTTTTACAAAAATTCAGTTTATAACATTTAACATACCTGATTTAGTCCTTTCTAAGAATTTCTCAAGCTGTCCTTTTTTGATGACCAAATCCATGCCTTTAGGCAAGCATGAAAAGAAAGTAGAAAGAACTTACCAATGTTAAGGCTAAAAAGCTGTTAAGTCAATATTGTAATTAATAATATCAGTAAAACCTCTATTAAACTAAATAAAACACATAGCACTATTGCAAGGATTAGATCAATGTTTCCACTTAGAATAAGAGCATATTATGCTCCAACAAATTTCTACAGCCTTCCATTCCATCTTGAAAAGTGTACAACCCATAAAACATATTTGTGTTAATAACTAAAAAGGGTTGAACATCTTCTTTTATTTACTAGCTTTGTTTGTGAGCTTCATCAAATGATGCTGAAATATATGAAAAGCCTGATAATTCTTATAATCTCCCTTTCTAGAGAATGAATAACAAGATTTTATTTTTAACGGCCATCTAGAAAATCTCACAGATAGTTTCAGGATTTAAAGGCATCTTGAATCTTTCTTTAATTTAAGAGTTAATCTTGTGAAGAGAAAATGAAATGTGATGTTAGGGGTAGATATCATCTAATTCAAATTAGAACATAGGTGCAGAAGAATAATGGATGCTTGAGCAATACTAGTTGAATTTAACTGTATGCTAATTGAAATGACACTAACTATACCACTGCCAAATAAACATAGACTAAGAAAATAAAATTGAAAAAAGTCATAATAGTCCAGTTCTAAGAAACTTTCATTATTTGTTTATTTTAAAACAAATCTGGGATATAACAAAGTCATTATGAAGCACAAAAAGCTGACATGCTAAAATTCTTATTTTTGGCAAGATTACCCAATGCGTATAGAATATCCTCGTATTATTTCTTGTTAATAGCAAGCTAGATATTTCTAAATTAAACTCACTTGAAATTTGGAAAAAAAGATGAAACTTTACTCTTGTTTTAACAATACATTTGCTATAAGTAAACACTTGAAAACCAAACTCTTGGGCACCAGCCCTTCCTCTTCTGACTCTTATGAAGTAATGGACATAAGATTTACCACCCCACTTCAAACAACTAGAGTATTAGACAAAAATACCCAAAGTAAGGGTTTTGACATAAGGGACAACAGCAAGCACAGAACAGTGAGCCCTGAGAGAAGGGAAACAAATGGAGTGAGCTCTACGATTACCCCAGTTTATTACTTTGACACAGTTAAATTTAGAGTTGAAAACTTCCAGCAAAGAAATTTTCAGGTCAAAATATTTTCATTTTTGGAGTCCATCCAAATATTTTTAAAAGAAATAATATAAGCATTACATAAATTTTGCTAGAAAATTGAGCAGCAGGGAACATTTTTCAACTCATTTTGTGAAGCCAACCTTACTTAGCCTAATAACAAAACCATACCAAGAAATTACAAAAACAGAAAAATATAAATCAATATGCTTTGTGAACATAAAAACCAAGATTTGTATAAAACGTCAACAAATTGAGCAAAACAATATATAGAAAGAATAATATCAGAGTCAAGTGATGCTTAGCACAGGGATGCAAGTTCAGATTAGCATTAAAATTGATGAATTTCATCATATAAACAAACAGAAAAACTTATCAAATGTAGAAAATCTTTTGAAAAAATTCAGCATACATCCATAATAAAAACACTAAATGATCAATAAAAGAGAACTTCCTCAATCCCCAATTAGGGTTCATATTAGGAACTTAGCGAAACCATGTCATGCTTATTCATGAAGCAATGAACATAAACTTGGGCAAGAATATCTAATATCATCACTTGCATTTAACACTATATTAAAGATCATAGGCAATGAAATAAGGCAAGAAAAATAAGGCATACAAATGTT